ATTTAAATTAAACTTCCAACTATATGTGTAACTTAGAACCAGTTAGAAATATTTTTAAAATAAGACAAGACATAAAAAAGTGATAAGGTGTTATTTTCCAAAAATGTAGTTATATTATGGATAGGTGTGACATTTAACAGCTTATATATGCCAACTTGACCAAATACCATATATCTTAACCTATTAGAGATAGAACTTAACATTTAAGAAAAGAGCAAAATTATCATCACCTTGCATCTTTTTCTTCTAAGAAATATTAAAAATATAAAAGAAGACATTAAAAAGATGTTCATTAGGAATTTATTATACTTACTAGTAAGATGGAAATAAAGTTCTCTGAAGCTAGTGACCAGTTATTATATAGTGTATCATGCAAATATATTATTTGATAAATCTTTTCACAAAGTTTTACTTAATGAAACCATACATTAGCTTTTTACATTTTGTATGATTAAAGTTATTTTCAGGGGGCACTTCTAGGTGCCGGTGCTTCACTAATAGGTATAGGATCAGACATAGCAGGTTCTGTGAGATTACCAGCAGCTTTTAATGGGGTTTTTGGTCACAAACCTACACCTAGTAAGACTGACAACTGAAATATAAAAGTCATAAGGCAAAATTTTTAATATTTCAGGAACAGTTCCTCTCAAAGGTCATTTTCCAATCGGACATGATGAGAAATACTACGATTTTTTAGTAATTGGACCATTAGTAAGATATGCCTGCGATTTTAAATTGATCATGAACGCAATGTGTGGTAGCCGAATAGGATCAGAATTAAATTTATATGAACACGTAACGAATACTAATACGCAATTTTCTATAACTATTTTAATTTAGACGTTTATTATTTTTAGGTTGACTTATGTAAATTAAACGTTTTCTACTTGGAAAGTCTAAATTTTAATGTTACGTTGCCTAGAGTGTCGAAAGAGATACAAGCAGCTGTGAGGGACTCCGTTAGCCATTTGAAGAGTCACTGTGGTGCAAAAGTACATGACTATAAATTTGATGAATTCAAAAAATGTATCTGTTGTATGTGGATCGGCGATATTTTCATTAAAAGATATCCCGAACGTTTTGAAGGGGGTAAGAAGTTGATAATAATACCGAGAGTTCTGAATTGTTTAGTCCAAATTGCATGATTAAATATAAAGAAAAATAATTTGTTATACCGCGTGCGTCTTAAAACAGCACACCCCTATAACTTTTTATTTTTTTAGTTTAAAAACGAGATATGGTATGTTAGTATATGACATAAATTAGAATTGATTGACGTATTCAATTATTTTCGGTCACTTCCTGTTTCACCGAAATGACTAAAACTTTTTAGAATGCACCCTCGGTTTTTTTTACTTTATTCGATATAGAATAACACTTTGAATAGAATGACATATCATATGTCAACTTTTGGCATTTTCGCATATGGTTTATCTGAAGTTATAACTTGCGGTTCGTAACGAAAATTTGACACGAAATATCAAGTGTGTGGTATCAAATTATCCATAAAAAATGTTTTTTCAAATATGTTAATGAGCCACCCTCGTTCCATTTGAAAAAATTGAGATATGATTAAAAATACGATTTGAGCATTTTTCTAACTGGCCAGGACAAGACACTAAAAACATTAGATGGTCAAATATATTTTTCCAAAGCTCCTTGATTAAAATTAGTATTTTTAACATCGCCATGATACTCTAGATTGAATTTTGAAATACGATTTTTTATTAAGAGAGGATATTAAAAAGTTGACATATGATATGTCATTCTATTAGAATGTCATTTTTTTTATCGAATAAAATAAAAAAATCGACAGTGCCATTTAAAAATCAAAAGTTGTAGTAATTTCCGGTGAAACAAGAAGACACCAAAAACAAATGAATACGTCAATCAATCCAAATTTATATCATATACTAAAATATCAAATCTCGTTTTTTAATCTATAAAAATAAAAAGTTATAGGGGTGAGCCTCTTTTGAGACGCATCCGGTATAGCATAAAATTTCTCTAAATTAATTATTGCAAAAGATATAATAATATTTTAAATAACAATAAAAAAATACTTTTTATTAACTATATTTAATTTCTATTTTAGGAAAATAGTTTATTTATAGTGAATTAACAAAGTCCCTTTTGGAAGATCAAAATTTACCCATAATCTCATGGTTTTCTATTTCTTCGAACTTCTTTTAAATATGTTGTTGGCGATTACAGTCAAGAAAATGCCAAATTAAAAACGTTTATAGTGGTAAGTTCTAATACCATTTTTTCTTTATCGCTTAACTGTAATTTATGAGTATATTTATTTCAATTTTAAGGAAAAACTTAAAGATAATGGTGTTATTATTTTACCGACGTTTCACGAACCAGCGCACAAGCATAATCAGGCAATTTTAAAAAATGGATATGCTTACATGATTATTGCTAATGCGCTGGGTCTACCTGCTACAAGTATACCATGCGGATTTGATAAAGATGGTATGCCTATTGGTGTTCAGGTATGTGTTATCTGCTAAAGTACTAGCGTTGATTAGTAGTAGTTTCTGATGTGACTAGACAGAAGGTTATTAATATACAGGATGAGACTTATAGTTGAGTCATTGGGGATAAAGAAAGGGGCCTGCTTGGAAAAAAATCCGGAAGTTTTGAAACTTTGCAGGTTTATAGGTTTTGGGGTCCCTAACTAAAATCCATAAAATGTACATTTCCAGACTTGCCGCCGGCATAAAAATTGGTATTTTATAAATATCTCGAAAACTATGCGTGTTTCGCAAAAATTTGAAGAGAGTAAAATTAAAGAAATTTCCTATAAAATATGTTCTATGAAAATTTTCGCTAAAATGAACCGTTTAAGCACAAAAATACCTGAAATTTTGCAATTTTGCGTATGATATATATGATATATATAGTCGATTTTCCAAAATGAAATGTCGATTAGGGTTCACTAAAACTAGTTTTAGTCTAGTTTCTTCAATTTTGTCATGAAACAGTGGCATATCATTAATTCGCTCATTAATTTATGAATAATTAATTGTCGTGCTGGACAGCATTCATTGCGAACTTACCACCACCAGGTTTGGCATGGGTCTGGTTGTACCAAAGATGCCGAAGAATGGGGTTGGAAGAAAACAAACAGGCATTACTCCAGTCACAACGTTGAAAGATCCAGCTCCAAAATCCCTATTGGCATTTTTTATCCTGTAAATGCAAAACCAACAATTGTGGTAAAGCCTGCGGATGCAGAAAAGCAGGATTAAAATGTTCAATGATTTGTACATACTGCTAGGGAAATCCTGTGACAACGTCACAGGATTTCCCATTGAATCCGATGAAGAGGAGTTGGACTTGCCTGTAGATATCCCTCTGGCGGCTGAAGATGAAGAGTTGGACGAATTGAGAAACCACCCTGATGAGCCCAGCTCAGCAGACACGATCGACTTTGACATCAATGAGCCAGGTCCGTCGGGCTTGTGAAGATAAGTTAAAGTTTTTAATTTACCTAGTGAAGTAAGCCTTCTCTCTCTCATGACAAAATTGAAGAAACTAAACTAAAACTAGTTTTAGGGAACCCTAATCGACATTTGATTTCGGAAAATCGACTATACATATATCATAATTTTACGCAAAATTGTAAAATTTCCAGGGATTTTGTACCTAAATGGTTGACTTTAGCGAAAATTTTCATAGAACCTTTTTTATAGGAAATTTTATTCTCTTTAATTTTTATCCTCAAATTTTTACGAAAAACGCATAGTTTTTGAGATATTTACAAAATACCGATTTTGGGCGCCATCTTGACAAGATGGCCGCGCCGGCGGTAAGTCTGGAAATGTGGATTTTATGGATTTTAGTTAGGGACCCCAAAACCTATAAACCTGCAAAGTTTCAAAACTTCCGGACTATTAAATAAGTATAAATATTTTCAGGGCTGGTAAATCTCGATAAAAGACATGTTTTCTCTTGAAAATATGGTTCTTGAAACTTGATTTTCCAAAATAACCGAGTTATTTTACCTTGAAAGTTATAAAAATATTTTTTTATAAATAATGTTTTATAAATATTTCTTTCTAAATTTAATCGATTACCTACGTTGCCATATTACCATTAATAAAATTTTAATTTCAATTTTCAATTTTTTTTCGATAAATACCTCATTGACGCTTTTCTGGGGTCGAGATATAACACCCCTAGAAATATACTACTCAAAACAATTATTATCGCATATTTACTAAAAAATATATTATTAATTTGAAAAACAAGACACTTTGAATTCCCTGACTTAACGATTTAAATAGTATGGATACTATGAAGGGAAATTCGATACTTTACGATTATTTGCCTTGTTATGAGCTTTCTAAATATATAACATACTATATACTTATTTTCATAAACAAGGTAAAAAACGCATTATTTAACTTTTTAACTCCTTAAGCGACCGATTTAAAATAAGTACACAAAACAACTAAATAATTTTTTTGACGTCAAATTTTGGTTATTGCCTATTCCACGCTAGTTTCTGTGTGTCACACAAGTGCATTAAAAATATCATTAACTCTGATTGACAGCTTGTTTTCTAAAAGCTGCACAAATTCAATTTTTATTTTGCTATTGAAGTTAATAGTTTGCCTGTTAATAGTAGCATATTAATAGCTATTTATCAACCGTCTGTGAGACTTTTATTTATTTTTATGTTATATTTTTAAACATTATCACATTGTTATTTTTGTTTAAAATTTGAAAATTAATCTAGATTTTACTAAAAATTTCTCAAATCGGAAATAATCCAGTCATTTAGTAGTGTACATAATTGTTTAAATTTAGAGATTACTGAATTAATCTTTGTTTTTTCTTTATTTGAACTGCAATAACATCAGATACTTTTTTGGTTTCAATTTAGGTAATAGCAGCTCCATATCAAGACAGATTATGCATAGCCGTGGCAGAGGAATTAGAGAGGCATTTTGGTGGATGGATTCCTCCTCCAGAGAACGATTAATTTTAAAAAAATAATTTATATTTTTATTGAATAAAAAATACATAAACACATATATTTACTTAATTATGTTTTATCCTATTTAGAATCAGTAATATAAGTTATCGTTGTAGAACTTCCTCCTCCTGGGCATAAATTGTCATTATTTTCATATCTTCCTGCATATCCAGAGGTTGCATTATATCCGTAATATTTTAGATATCCAAGAGTATATTCGCAACTGTCGGGCAAATTATTCACTGTAACACTTGTATTAGTGGCGGTGAACGAAATATACACGTTATCTTTGTATAATTCGCCATTTGCAGTGCATTCTTTCGTGCAGTCCAATGCTACGTATAAGTTAAGTTTATTAGAATCCTGAAAGAAACAAGTATCCATTTCACATAATAAATTGAAAGTATCGTACAACCAAAAATTTTTATGATCGAGCGGGCTTTGACTTTGACAGTGAAAAACTGTAATATAGTGGTAATATACAATGCTGCAGTTGGGGGTTAAAACCTTTGGTGTTACAACAGTAAAATAAAATTCCAATTCACCACAATACACCAAAACACGCGTTTTAATCGTCTGCTAATGATGTTTACATGGTTAGCGAAACGCGCGCCCAGTATTTAAAAAAGTGTTTTGGTGTACTGTGGTAAATTAGTGTTTTATTTTTCAATAGGCAATATATCCAATCCTCCTCAATCTTATTCTATTATGAAAAAATTGATATAAAGACCATATTTTATAGAATATTACTAAATGTTGAAAGTATTTTACCAATAAAAAATAATATGAATAAATCTAGCAAAAGCTGCCACTGAAATAGGAACTGAAACCTTATTGCCACTTAACCAAGAAAAAAAAATAAAGTTTGGAGTTTAGAAATATATGCCACTGTGATAGTTCCAAGCATAAACAGCTGCTCGGTAGCTTTTTACTTGCAAAAAACTTGCCTAACCAACAAAAAAACACTTAATGGTTAATCTTCTAATATTTTGAGGAAGTATTGCATCTAGTTGTTCCCTTATTACTTAAGTAATCAAATATTTTGTTTCTTTAAATAATTGTTTTAATAAAATTGACAGTGTATTTAATGCTTGATTATCATACGTCCTTTATGCGTATAAAACATAAATTTTAAGAAAGCTGTTTTTTTTGCTATGCTCATTGCTTCATTCGCTATGCTATGCTCATTGATTTATGCTCATTGCTTCATTCCTGTGCTCTCCTGACCAAAGGGCGGGCAGTCTAGCTGCCGGTAGACTACTGCGCATCACATCTGTACAGGGTATTCCGAGGGGTATTCCATTTTCGTGTGGCTTATGGGATTTCTCGTTTATGAGTACAATATGCGATTACACATACAATCAGAGGAGCAACTAGGGGGGCCAGGGGGGCTTAGCCTCCCCAGATAACCTGAGCGTGTCTTATAAAATTGGTCTTAACCTCACATCAATATTATCTTATAGTGATCTAAGCCCCCCCAAAAGAGTTAAGCCCCACTAAAAGTATATGTCTAGTTGTGCCCCTGCATACAATGATGCGATTTTCACATTATTTTGCTACTTTTTTATGAAACTAAATATGCTACACATAATATGTTTGTCCTAGCCTCCTTAGTTCCTGAAATTCAGGGCGAATTTGTTATGCGCAGTAGTGAACAGATGTTGAATACAGATATGATGCGTAGTGGTGAACGCAACGTCTACCGGCAGTCAGACGGTCCGCACTCTGTTCGGGAGAGCATAGTAAAAGATATATTAAAGAGCAAGCTTTCTTAAAATTCTCTCTCGAAAAAAAAAAACGTTGCTAGGTCTTAGACTATAAGTAAAACAGCAAAATCGTTATGGAAATGAAAATATAAAATGACACCAATCACAATCAAATCATATATCCGATGAACGGAAGCATGAAAATGCAATAATTTTAAAAACTCCGTAATTTTCTAACCAACCGAAGTCTTTAAATTCAATCAATAAAATTAATATCGTATCGTCGCATGAAAATCAAACTTTAGTCGTTCACACAATTCGATTAATTCCAATATTTGAAAAATCTTAAGTTTAAGTGTAAAACCACTTGGGATATTTATATTTTTTTATTTATAACATTCTTCCAAACATGAGAGGTCACCATTTCTCTAATATTTGGAAAAATGTTATAAATATAAAAAGTTATGAATATTATATTGAGTGGTTTTACACTTAGAATTAAGACTTTTCAAAAGTGCAGTTAATCGAATTGTGCAGTTAACGGTCACTAGATGATGAATATAGTTAGACCTTACCCGCATCAATTATAATAATTATAATTGATGCGGGTAAGGTAAAATAAAAAAAAATAATAATATAAAATTCTGCCATAAAAAATAGTAATTATTAATATTTTTTATAGCAGAATTTTATTCATTTTGCAGATGTCTTAAATAACGATAAAATCTTACAGTGAGGGCGACTATAGATCCTTGAGCTACAAATGCAATCCAATCCGATTCGATAATATCAATAGTAACATAATAATTATCTTTTTTCGCCGGAGTAAACATAGCACCTCCCCATAATTCATACCATATCTTTCTTTTTTCGGGCAGATATACTTGAAGCTTTGATTTGCCAGATGTCAGAGGTTGAGCAACTATAACATCTGTACCAATAGCATATTGACTAAAAAAGAAATATTACAAAAGTATGTAGAGAAGGCATCATAATCAATTATAAAAAATTACTGAACGTATCAAGTAGTACTTTTTTCAGTCTTATTGTTATAACAACACCACTTCCATACACATAGGTCTTGTTCCAGTGTAGGCCTTTATAGGAGTTATTGGATTCTAGGATTTTTGTTTATTATTGGCTTATTCACTGGACTATTTAAATAATTTTTATACTCACCAGCACGAAAAACGCGCACCTTAAAATTTTCATATATTTCTTTCAAGGTTTATATCTGGTGTTCAAGTCGATTTTGATGAGATTTTAAGCAATTTGTAGCTAAATTATTTGACTTTTTAGTACCTCTTTCTAAATTAAAAATGAAAGTTGTCATCTGTAAATTACACAAAGGAAAACAAAATGTTGATATTTCCATAAAAGTTTGAAACATCCTGTGGAGTACGTCAAAAGAGCAAGGCATTTAAAAATCATTTCATCGTTTAGGTGTATCATTTCTCAATAGTTTGTTTTTGGATTCATCTCAATAGCTTTATTTTTTTTGACATATTGACTTTTGAAGAAGACACTAACATTATTTCGTATTTTTTACATTAGAACCGTGCCTTCGCTTTTGGTCCTAGTCAACAGACCTATAAAACAGTGTTTATGATTTATGTAATGTCATTGTCTTTGAAAAATCATATTATTATGGTCTGTTGGGCAGTTAGTCTAGTAGATATGGTTTTAAGTCCAAAAGTTAATCTGTACCACGATCAATTAAAGCAACAATAGCCGATAAATCAGAAGTTAAAACCATCTCTACTAAACATTAAAAAACAATAATAGTATGACTTTTCAATGACAGTGCTATTACAAAAACACTATTTTATAAGTGTATTGATGAGAACCCAAAATCAATGCTAAAATTGCTGTAAATCATTACTGTCTTATTCAAAAACCAATATCTCCAATAAAATAAAGCTATTGAGATGAATAAAAAATAAACTGTGATATAAAATGATTTTTAAATTCTTTGCTTTGTTAACATATTCCACGGAATGTTTCAAACTTTCACCAAACCTTGTTTTACCTCGTATAATTGACAGATGGAAACTTAATTTGAATGTGGAAGAGATACTAAAAAGTCAAATACTTCAGCTACAAACTGCTTAAAAAATCATCAAAATCGGCCCAATAGAACAAAATCTATTAATTTTTAAAATACATCAAAATTTTTAGGTGCCCGTTTTTCGTGCCGGTGAGTGTAGTTTGTATTTATCAAATATAGAAATATATTATTTTTTATTTAATTTTCTGTGATTTTACATAACATATCAATTTCTAAACAATTTTAAAAGTTTTAGAGATAGTTTTATAATAATTGTTAGTTTCCCTTCTTTTATTAGAAATTAATAAGGTATTAGATTTCCCTTCGTTTATTAGATTTATTTAGATTTATACTAATTTAAAATTATATACATACTTTTCTAATGAATATGTAGCATTATTACTATAATAATCGTAATACATTGGACGTATAAGTGGTTCCTTTTTACTGAGTATCGTGTAAAAATACTCTTGAAATAATTTTCTCCTTGATATGGTCGTTGTGACGGCATTTGTTGTATAAAGCGTATTTAAGCTATTCGGATCGCGATATGGATCGTCTAAAAATGTCATGGGATAAATTAAAATTAACGTCCAAATGTGTCATTAAAAGTTTCACATTATTATTCTGTAAACTTGGTTGCAGTGGTGGATACAGAGGGCCCCCCCCCCCCTGAAATTTGTAAATTGTGTTAAATATTATGCTTTTGGGTTAAAAATGGCGCCCTAAAAAGCATATTCTACATTACTTTATATTTTGGGCCCCCCCTAAAATAAATTCCTGTATCCGCCCCTGCTTGGTTGTATAGTTACCTGAAGATATGCGGAAATAAGGCATGGACGCTGCTGCTATGTACCATCTGAGACAAAGCGTTTCATGAAGTTCTTTATTGTATGAATTTCCATCACCACAAACTGGTAATCCAATCATATAATCACCTAAGTATTAGAAAATATGATGATATACCTTTATATTATTATTAACGTATACTTATTTCTTATGTACCATTTGTGTATAGTAAATAATTTAATCAAACAAACAATGATTTTGACAGTTCAAATTTTAATGCAATATCCTCTAATAATTATTGTTTATCTGTATTCATACACAGTAGAGACCGAGGGGTGTCTTAGTGTTGGAATTACATGTTCATTTGTTCATTTTCTTGGCCAGTCGTTGGCTTCAGTCTTACAGCAGTCGACTACAATTATGTGGCAGTCTTCTTCGCAGTCATTAGCAGTCGCTTGGCTGTAAAATGATATTTTGGCAGTACATGTGTTGCCCAAGTGAGACACCCCTCGGGAATAATACCCTGTATATTTTTATCTATTCCTATTGTTTCTATATTCAGGGTACTAGAAATTCGAGGTACGAACATTATATATGGATACTCTATAACCGTAATAGGTACGACCATGGTTAAATTGGGGCAAAGTTGCGCTTTGGGATGTTCACCAAGATGCAATCAAAAAAGATTTAAAAATTTCAAGGATTGCTGAGTTTTTTGGAAAAACAGATTTTTTGAAAATCAATTTTATTTTTTAAGTTAGTCTATCACAGATTTGGCCTATGAAATTGTTGGTATCTCACAAATTGTCAGCTAATTTGCAAGTCTAAAAACATTATCAGATAGCCCTAATAAAGTGGCTATGAGAATGTATAATTTGTTTTTTGATTTTCTAAAAAGTAACTACAGGAAAAAATAAAATTGATTTTCAAAAAATCCCTTCATTTCCAAAAAACTCAGCAATTCTTGAAATTTTTAAAACTGTTTTGATAACATCTTGGTGAACATCCCAAAGAGCAAAACTTTGTCTCACTTTAACCATGTTCGTATCTATTACAGTTACCAAGATATCAATGCTTGTACCCCGAAATTGTAGCACCCTGTATAAATTAATTATTTTTAAAATTTAGAAATAAGCGAGATTTTGCTTATTGAAGATTATTTAATTTCCTTGCTAAACGAATTTGCCTTAAAAACAGAAAAATTATCGTAACCGCAAACAGAATTAATCTGAATAATTTGCAATAAATGTCAGTGCAATTTTCAGCCCAATTTTAGTTGAATCATTCTGCATAGATTCCTAATATAATTTTTCATATGTCCAAGTCGTAGTTACATCTAAATGCTTACCTGTAATACTACTAAACATCGTTTTCTCCAAATAAACTTTAAAATTGTCCCACGAAGTTTGAAAATTATGTGATATCTCCGGTTCGTTATCGGCAAAATTTTTACTGGCAGAAGCGATAAAGAAATCTTTCAAATTTTCTTTCTCTGTAGTGTAATTATACAGCAACTCGTATTGTAAGGAGCCATACGTGTTGTGAACTTCAAAATGCGAGATGTTAGAAGAAGTGTTGACATTCCATGGTAAGGTATACACCATTTGTTCATTTAGCTTATCAGTCATGTATGGAAAACTGGTATTAAGTGTTGCTTTGTAGCTGTCATCTTGCGGCCAGTTGTTGTTTAATACAAACCCGCTTATTTTTTCCAGACCAATCTGATCCTTTATCCATTGCATAAGTACTTTTAGAAAGTCTTCAATTGAAGGATGAGTGAAATCTGGATAAGATACGGGCAGCTTCAAGTATTTTCCAAGGTATACGTTTCCAGAACGATCCTTGTACAGTACGTCCAAACTGACTGCACTTGCGTAAAGAGAATTGTTGTCATAAGCTAGAATCTTTAAAGAGAAAAATATATATTGTTTAAAGGTTGAAAACAACACTAACTTAATTAACGTATCGTTATACATTACTTATGGGGGGTTCATTTCTGGAAAACAAAAGAGTTCTTCATCACTGGAAGAACATATATAAAATTGAAAAAATAAGCTGGTGAAGAACCCATTGGCGAAGAACCCAAAGTTTTTTCAATAATTGAATCCGCCACAAAGATATAATTATTATTTGAGCATCATGTTATTAAACTATCAAACCGTTGTTCCTCAATTTTAGAAAGACCCTATGGATAATACAATATATTGATATCCTACCGACTGCGCCAACTGATTTTTTTAACTAACTGCCTTTAATTTTGGTTGTTTATCTAACTTGATTCTCTTTCAGTGACTAAAAAAAACCTCATAAAACTCTCTAATATAAACAATTGTAAACAAGAATAAGTTAAAATGAATTAGCATCTATAGTTAACACTATATGATATTTTTTTAACTTTCTCTATTTAACTCTATGCATATATTAACCTTATATTTTAAAAAACATATACAGGGTGGGTCAAATGGTCCCACACGAAAACTATTATCGGTGTTTGAAACTCAATTTTTATCAAAAACATGATGGTGAAAACCGCACATCGATATCCGTTACCGTTTCGAAGTTACGGGGTGTTTTTCAAAAATGTATATTTTAAACAAATAGGCTGTAACTTCTTTGCTATGGAAAATTTTGTTTTTTTGTGAAAACATCCAAATCACCATTTTACGTAGAATTGAATAGTTTAAGTATAATTTTTTTAAAATTAATAATTTAAGAATTATCAGAAGAAAATTTGATTTTTTATACGATAGGAGTACATGAGACCCTATGTATATTTTTAATTCACTGAAAACCATTAAAAATTATTACCTTTTCAAAAATATAGCATTTACAAAGATTCCTTTTCGATATATAGAGTTTTTAAAAATTTACCCGCTTTGAATAGACGGGATCGTTTTTGAACATTTCTCGCGGAATTCATTAACGCAGTAGGTGTGAAAATTACCCTCGCATAACCGCCAAGTACTTCTAATTCTGGTCTAGATTATACGGGCCATTTAAAAATCAGATTTTTATTTTTTCGCAAAGATAAAAATCCATAGGCACTGTCCTGCGGCCTCGACGGCCAACGGCTGGAATCATGGTTAACTATTCAATTGTTCTGGAAATTGGCAGCAGAAATTTGCTGAAAACTTCAGCGTTCTGAGGCGGTGCTTCTTCTTGCTGGAAAAATATGTTGCCGAGTTCTATTAGAAGCAGATTATTAATAAGGAATTCAAAGCCTACTGGCACAGAATATATAATCTATAGCTTCGCTATATTATATTCTGTGCTACTAATTAAAAGTGGCGAACTATAACAAAGTGGTAACGAAGGGGTACTATAACAAATTAGAAAGAAAGGAAAAACAAAATACAAAATAGGAAAAACGAAATTAGAAAGGTAATTGTAAGTTCTTTTCAGTTAATTAAAAATATACAGTGTGTCGCAAATAAAAAATCAATTTTCCTGTTGATAACTCTTAAATTATTAATTTTAAAAAAATTATACATCCATGTTTTATCTTTAATATCTTTACTTACATGTGGAGGAAGTGAAAGTACAAATTTACTAGAGCTAACCAAACTTTCAAGCGTCGTTCTAAAGTCAGTCAAATTTCCTCCAAAACTATTTTCTTGTTGTAGTGACATAAACAAATTTTCGTGAATACAGTTTGCATCATAGCTATACGTATCCAATGCATAAATTTGAAGTAATTTTACCAAGTCTACTTCACTGCCTTTTCTGAAAAATGTTCACTTTGGTTTTGATGAAAATTAATCTAACTTTATAATTAAAATACCTGCAATTATGTGTACCCAACGCCCATTTTGGAGCTAATCCCATATCTTGAACCTGGTTTTTATATAATTCAGCTGGAGTTGGACCTAGAGTTAGTTCAACTTCTATTCTTTTTCCTATTAAACTTCTTAATATAACAATGTTTGATGCCAAAACAGTAATTTCCAGTGGTCCAGAATGTTTGATAAGTACTCCTATATGGAGAAAAAATATATACTATATACATACAGGGTCCGTCAATAGTGCGCGTCGGGGGTATGTAGCTCTTAGAATAAAGATCTTGGGAAGAATTTTGTTTAAGTGCAAACTTAAAGTATGTACGAGGATGTATTTAAGGAAAATATGTTTAACTTCTACAGGGTGATAGTAAATTTTAACTAAGCCACCTAAAGAAACCCTTGTAGAAATTCTGGAATGGAACTTTGAACATCCTGTATGATTTAAGATTAAGATATGTATGATAAACTAAGTACAGACCAACTATAATAAGGACATGGTTTTGATTTCAGTACATAGTTTTGATTCATATAGTAAGATATCATAGTTTTGATTTCAGGATATATCTTATACTTTTAATAATTTTAAAAAATGTTAAAAATGTTAACTATGAAATTATAAATATAAATTTAATAATATCTTAAGACTATGTAAAGCGATTAGAAAGTAAATAATAGCAAAGAATAAAAGCAAAAATGCAATAATATACAGAGTGTTCCACTTAAAAAATCATCCTGTTCCACTCTTACTTTTTTGAACCACTCAATAGAAGTTAAAATATTTTCCTGAAATACATCTTAGTACATACTTTAGGATTGACCTTAAACAAAATTTCCATGTTTTTTTTTATTTTGGAGGCTACAGACAGATGCCCGACACACTATTACCGGACACTTCATCCGATATGTTATGAATATATTAACTTTACCATAAAATTTACTATTTTTCAATGCCCAAATAACTGGCTGAGTGTTGTGATCGACCTGGTTCTTGTAAATGACTTTTGTTAAAGTCTCGTTGCCAGATAAGGTAATGATATTACGATCTAAACCAAATAACTTTTCGTTTGACAGCTGAAATGACCATTCCCAATAATTTTCCGAGGCTATCAGTGCTGAATTGGCTGAGTTAAATATGGTGTCATTGTCACTGTCTGAAATAAAAGATAAAAATTTTAAGATTTGTCTTTAGATTTTAATTCTAACGAAAAAAAAACTTTTTCAATACGGACTTTTCTATAGAATAGGTACCATAAAATATCCATTTATGGTATAAGCTATGAACAAACAAACCGCTACAGTACACATCTAAATATTTCCTTTCAAACTCAGTAAAGGGTGGAAATTTTGAAGATGCCAATGTAAATGTACACCATTGTATGTTATCTTCATTACAGATGGATAAATACATCTACTTGCATTAACTGATACCCTTGTATAAAAGCTGATACATAACTTGGTTTATATCCAGAAGTTGGCAGAAGAAAGTAAAGATTTCAGTTAACGTCTCCTTTTTGCTGCCAGGGCTAATCTGGACGGGGACTACTTTGATTACGCGGAATCCGAACCGCGATCCTCGGCCATATCATGGTCAATGGCCTACCGACTTGGCAAGTGTCTAAATCGACTCTTACTCACGAGATATCCTATCTCATCCGGCCTCGAACCGGCGGAATGAGCAGTGTGTGTCAATAGATTTTACACTTTTACCTTTTTTTGGACAACAGCACGAGACAGAGTTTCAAACCGGTCACCCGTCCATCCACTAGTATCGCCTTACGTCACTTAACTTCAGTGTTCTAATGGGAACCGGTGTTTCGACGTAGCTATGCCGTTGCCCGTTAGCAGAAGAGTAAAATTATGCGAAATTCAGTCATCTTGAAATTTAATGTGCAACTCGGCCCAAGGAAAGATGCTCTAGATTGGTTGCTACAACATCTGTAAAACATTGATACTGAAACAAAATCTTATAAGAAACTCTAGGTTTTTAATGGTCTTTGGATCGTTATATGTTTGAAATAATAGAGATGAGTCACAAGAGGATAGAATAGATGAGACAGAAGTGAAAATCAAATATCCTCAATGACATAGTCAGTAGTTAAAAATAAGTCATCAGTAGGTAAAAATAAGTCATCTAGTTAAAAATAAAACTATAACAGAATGACCATCAAAAATACGGGAGTGCCCAAGAGGCATAAAACACCAAGGAGATGCCCTAATCTGAAATTGGATTACGACTTTATAAAATAAACGGGAAAAAACTGGCAGCAAAGAGTACAACTAAAGATATGGACTGACAATAAATATTTAGTAATTAAATGAATACATTTAATTACATAAATAAGTCACAACGTCACTCAGTACATAGTTCAGGTCAATAAAAGCAAAATGGGACTAATATAAGTATTTAGAAATAAAATATGATCGCAATAATAATACTCAACATTTCTTTTTGATACTTTAAGTTGCTAATATATTAAAGAATAGTATAATAGAGTTGATGGATGGTCCGAACTATATTCCGGAAACTTCGGCAGCATATTCTGCAGATAAAAATAAGTAAAAAAGTTCAAATAAATCTCCAAAAATGCTTAGTTTCGGAGATAGGGTGTAGAAGTTTCATTTTTATTTCGATTTTTTTCCAAATAATTTCATTAACTATTAATAAACCAAACCAAACCAAACATCAATATTTGGATGAAAATTGGTGTCTGGGAGTTTTTTAACATGAGAAATTTGATTTTGATGTCAATATAACTCCTATTTGTAGGGGGCGCCACCTACATGAATTTTAACTGTTTTAAAGAGTAATAACTTTTCGTCGGTACCTGTATAAAAGTACTGAGTGAGAAAATATATTTCCGTGACTTTTTACGTAAAAAAGCTCTCCTGATAAAATCGCTACGAGCAACCATTCTCAAGATATTTAGAATGGAAATACTCAATACTATGTCATTATTACAAAAAATAAACACGCGTTGAGCAGATCGTTATTTGGCTGATATAATAAATTTGGGAAATTTTTATTTTGTTAAATTACTCTTAATCTTTCTCTAGGGTTAACATTATGATAAAACAGTTTCTGTTGAACTTTTGGTACAAAAACCTTTTAAATTTATTATTTCAGTCTAATAACTATTTAGCCAACATTTTATTATTTATTAGTTATAGCGATTTTTACTAAGAAATTTATTTTTACGTAAACAAGGTCGTAATTTTTTCACTTAGTAGTTTTATACAGGTACGGACGAAAAATTATTATTCTTCAAACCAATTAAAAATATGTAGGTGGTACCCGTTACAAGTAGGAGTCATATTGACATCAAAATCAAATTTCTCATGTGAAATAACTCCCAAACGCCAATTTTCATCCAAATATTGAGGTTACTTCAAAAATTATTTGGAAAAAATTGAAATAAAAATTAAACTTCTATACCCTGTATCTCCGAAACTGAGCATTTTAGGACATACATTTATAAGAACTTTTTTATTTATTTTTATCTGAAGAATATGCTGCGAAAGTTTCCGGAATACAGTTCGTACCATCCAGTATGATGACAGTATAGTATGTACTGTCGCGGTAAAAAAAAAGTATACCATAGATGATTATATATTATCGATATATACATCCATCAATTTTGACTGCACAATTGTTCAACGTAAGTATTGATATCTTATTAGAAATGCTTAAGTAAGTCCTATATCATCACAGCATTACACTAGACTATCTTTAAAATTAGGTATACTGTGATGGTGGTGGGCAATATTCAAATATTCAAAATATTCAACGAGCATATAATGGTGGCTGTTATTCACGCGGACGAAGTTTATCATCCAAGTGAATAACAGCCATTATATGCGAGTAGAATACCATACTATACTACCAGGACTATAAAAAAAAGTACATAATATTTTTTAACACCTTTGTTTTTTATTTTGTGCGTACAGTCGCATTTCAAGCCGGTTTAGATCGAGCACAGCTCTTGTATGGAGTTTGGATGGAAATATCCGTGGAAGCGCTGAATAATAAAACCATTATTCACTAGTGAATAATGAATATTATTATTATTTCATAAACTCATGTATAATAATCAAATTATAGACGAGTCGTGGATAAAATTATATTATACCCTTTATGAGAAAACAAACAGACAGGTGAAAAATTGCACTCATCATAGTGACTATTACTAGACACTAGTTATCATCTATCTAGACACTACTTATCATAGTCACTGATCATAGTGACTATTACTTAAAAATGTCACTACGCGCACATTTAAAACAGTTAAAAATGCAATCAGTAATAATTCATCTAAATCCAGAGAATTGCAAACGAAAACGCTCATGCAACTATAGCTGAAAATCAAATTACGTCTTAGTTTCTAGTCACTATTTACCATTTATTTCCAGTGTAAGTCTCTGTGAAGAATAGTTTATTTTAAAGTTCTTCATGTCGGCTTCGACCGATGAACTCTGTTTTGCATTGGTTTTGCTTGAAGTCTCCAAAACTAGTAATAGCTTCTTTCCATTTTCTGTTGCAGTAAACTGGATGTTCTCTACGATTTTTGATCCTACTGGTGACTTGCTGTACGATGTCGAATATATGTCACCTGAAGACTGTTGGTAAAAGTATCTGAAATGAAGTATCCATCATGGCAATATTTTAAAAATATATCTTAAAAAATTTTCAAGAAAAATAATATGTTTTATTTATTTTTCGAGTTTAAAAGATGTTATATTTGGTTCAATCGTATTTTCAGGGCTGGTATATCTCGATAAAAGAAACATATTTTCTCTTTACCGTTTTTCAGATAAGTCTAAAATAACCGAGACATTTTACATTGAAAATTAAAATAAAATATTTTTCGCTTAAATTTTGAGAACCACTGAATCTTTTCTGGATTTTCTTTCTTGTAAATTTAATCTACTACCTATGTTGCCATATTATAAAGAAATTGTGTCTTTTAACTAAAAAAATCCAAAAATTTTTTTCAAAGAATTCCAAATTTCCAGAAACATTTTTTCACGAAAAAACATCGTGTTTCTTGAGTCGAAATATACTACCCCTAAAATATTTGCACTTATTTAAGACTCACACTGTATAGGGGTAGGTATATTATAATTCTATCAATAACAAACTATTGGTCGATTTTTCTTAAGCCAATTAGTATTTTAAAAACTATTATACTGTAAATGCATTTTTTTTGAAAAACATACCAAAATCAAAAGGTACTTACTTCGATGGTAAATAGTGATGACATTCCCCTGTGGTCGTGTTAAAACAGCAATCAACTTTAGTACATTGGTCTTCGCCAATCCCTACGTATCCACATGGTATTCTATATTCCTGTTGTACCAAACATGAGTACGTTTGGCTACTACCATCATCATAGTGCCTTTAAGTAAATAAATAATTAATGATTGTGTATATCAGAAAATCAGAGCTGCTTAATCAAAAAAGTTATAATTTTCCATTTTTTTATTTAAATTTTGAATCTTTCTGTCATTGTTCATACAATTTGTGTTTAGCGCTAAACAGTAAATTACTAATTACTAATTAAATTACTAATAACTTAATTACTAAACTGTTAAGTAATCCTAGAACAAAAAACAAAATATTCTATCTAAAGTACAAAAACTTATCCAATAGATCATAATATGTACAATTTATTATCTATACTAATATATAAAATCCTTAAGTGACTGACACTGATTAATCACGATTCTGCTCAAACCACTCAACGTAAGAAGCTCAATTTTGGCATACAGGTTGATTCTAGGATGTAGAGGTTTGATATGAAGGGATTTTTCGAAATTCCAGTTCCAAGAGGGTAAAACCACCCCTCAAATATTACAATATTTGTTATTTAGAAAACGATCAAGTTTCCGAAAAAACGCTTAAACAGTATATTTTATTTTGTTTTTTTACATATTTTAAGATTTTGTATTACAGGGTGTTTCGAAAAATCTGGTGATTGATTAATCACGATCCTGCTTAAAGCGCTTGACGTAAAAAGCTGATTTTTGGAAAACGGATTGACTTTAGGGTGTAGAGGTTCGATAGGAAAGGATTTTTCGAACCTCGAATTCTAAGGGGGTGAAACTATCCCTCAAATATTAAAATATTTTTTATTTAAAAACCGTTGAGTTTTTCGGAAAAACTCTTAAACACGTATATTTTATTTTGTTTTTTTTTACATATTTTAAGATTTTTTATAAATTTATACAGGGTGCTTCATAAAATATGACCATTGAGTAATCACGATTCTGTTTAAACTGCTTGACGTTTAAAACTGATTTTTGGCAAACGGATTGACTGTGGGGTGTAGAGGTTCGATAAGGAGGGGTTTCTCGAATCTCAAATTCCAAGAGGGTGGAAACGCCTCTCAAATATTACAATATTTGTTATTTAAAAAACGGTTCGTCTTTCGGGAAAACGCTTGGACAAGCATAATTTATTTGTTTTTTTTTACATATTTTGAAATTTTTTAAAAATCATACAGGGTGTTCCAAAAAGTTGGGTAATTTCTTAACCACGATTCTGCTTAAACTGCTTGACGTAAAAAGCTTATTTTTGGCAAACGGATTTTTCGAAAGTCAAATTCCAACGAGATGAAACTACCTCTCAAATATTACCAAGGTATATAATAATATCGCCATATTGTTTTTTCTCATGCTGACATAAATGTGAGAAAATTTTATCCAGTTTGTATGTTAATGAAAATTCTTGCTTTGCTTTATCATCACCATTACAAATGATTAATTCGACGCGAACGAAGTCGCTGGTACACGCTAGTTTTATATTAAACACTATTTGAAAATATACAGGGTCGCTGATATGTATGGTAACGGTCGATTATTAATTAAAATATAAGAGGTACCGCAAAAAGTTAAATATAAAAGTTGTAGGACTTTTAAATATCTATTAGGGGGTAATAAATTTAAATAAAAAAATCATAAAGCCGTGGTACATCAAAGTTTCATTTTTTCTAAATAGAACTCTCTGTATATTATTGCATACTCCGGTTTTTCCTTCAATTCTAAGCAAAAAGTGAAATACACACAATGTATCTCAAACCAACCGTTTCCGAGTTATTGACTTTTGAAAATATCGCTTAAACAATTCGATTTAATTAATTTCGATGTGTTCGATTTCATTTAACGATGCTATTCTGCGGATACTGTGATACTTAATAATATTTGATATTAGTTTTCAAGTTAGCATTTATAGATGTATGATATGAGATGATATTAAGTCTGGAAATTACAAACTTTTTGTTAAACATTTTAAAATCAAAATTGCATAATTCGGAAATTGTTTCCATTTAAAAGCGTCAAATTTGACCCACCCTGTACGTAATTATGTACAAAAATTTTGTAATTTTCAGACATGATATCATCTCATTTTATACATTTATAAATGCTAACTTGAAAACTAATGTCAATTATTATTAACTATCACAGTTTCCGCAGAATGGCACCGTTCAATGAAACCAAACACATCGAAATTAATTAAATCGAATGGTTTAAGTGATATTTTCTAAAGTCCATAACTCGGAAACGGTTGGTTTGTGATACATTGTGTGTATCTCGATTTTTGCTTAGAATTGAAGGAAGAATCGAAATATGCAATAATATACAGGGGGTTCCATTTAAAAAAATTAAACTTTGATGTACCACGACTTTATGACCGACCCTGTATACTTAAATTTATTATCCGCTAATAGATATTTAAAAACCCTATAACTTTTATATTTAACTTTTTGCGGCACCTCTTATATTTTACCTCAATAGACCGTTCCCATACATATCAGCGACCCTGTATGTGTATATCTGGTTGCCTCACCAATTGCAAATCAATTTACAAACCTAGAAATAGCAAAATGATACGCCACCACCGGACAAACAATTGCTACCACTAAAGCTGCTAGCACCCCTTTCACTAATTTACTGCACAGAAAACTCCTACATGTCAGCTTCTTGTGAAAATGTGGTTCATCGTCGATATCCTCTTGCTTTTGCCGCTCTTGTTCAATAAATGTAGTCATTGTTATCTACAAAACGAATAAAAAAACAAATAATTCACTAATATAATTACTTTTGTTTGAATGTATACGACTACTTGCCTGTTTTCAGAACATTTGTTCGCACGTTGAGAAGAAACAAATCATTTTTCATGTTCTATAGTATGAATTCATGTATGTGAGATTATTAGTAAAACATAATATTTTTTTAAAGCGGATTACTTCGATAACAATGGGATTAAAGAATTTGTGAAAATAATGAGATAAACCGATATCGAGAATTTTTGGAACTTGAGAAAACCCTTTCTTGATAAATCCAATCAAAACTTTGATTAGATATTTTAATGATTTTGAAGTACTTTACCGAAAGATAGTGTCATATAATGATAAATAATATGTATATAGCAATAGATAGTAAAAACACATAAATAAATACAGATAAAACTACTGTGATTGAAATCTAAGATTGGCATTTTAAAACGTTTATTTTTACCTGCATTTATTTTAGATTAAAGCAGGTAACCCATTATGAACGCCCGGCACGGCGCGGTACAGCACAGCATCGATTAAATTCATTTATATAGATTTAGATACAACGTAGCCCATTATGAGCTTCTTTTTTAGAAAGACACACAAATTTGGGTAGTGCCGGACTCCTACCGGCTAAAAAAACCTCCTCCAACTACCACTTTACAGTGCAATCCGCTCTCGCATTGCTTCAGTGCAAAGGGTGTCTAGATTTATCTTATCATGCCCTTTGTCTCTCGTCGCTCTCTTTACAGTTTATGATATTTCGGACTATCCGATATATTCGCGTCCATTGTTCTTCCCCTTCAACTAAGTATATGATAAATGTGGGTAAGTCGAAGTCCTTTACTGTCTTCCATACGGAATTTTTCCGTAAATCCCTGCCATCGATCGCACGCAAACAATGTATGCTGAACATCATCAACCTAACCGCAGTAGGTGCATGATGCATTATCAACCCTACAACGACCATACAAATATTTTTTAAAACACCCATATCTAGACAATGCTTGACTCATGAAGTGTAAATTCACTTCTGTGTAAATCTTACCCACTCAAAGTGGGTAATCCACTTCTCCGTATGATCTGTTCAACCATAATTGTCGGGTATTAATTTGTATGTCCATCTGCCATATATTCCGGTATTCCATTTGTCCTGCCACTGTTGCAGAAGTTTTGTCCTCGGTAGATCCTTATCCATCTCATGGTATCTATCATACCGTTCCTGTATGAGCAGTTCAATAGGTGCTATTTCAGATATAACCCCTATAGCCTCTCCAGATACCATTTTGTATGTGCTGCCTCTAATAGCCATGATACGTTATAGTCTGCGTAGTCTTTGTGTAAGTTTTCAATTGTTAATAACTTTATGCCATACCGGTGCAGCATACAACAGCTGTGTTACGAGTGTACCACACTAGCAAGCACTCTCCTTTTGGATGCTCTAGCTCCTCCCACGTTTGGCATGAGTAAGGCTAAAGCGGTGACAGTTTTCTCAGCCTTGGTGATCGTTTTATTAATATGGTCCGAAAAAATCAGTTTGGTATCCAGCCACACTCCTAAGTATTTCAAAGAATTACTTTGGTGAATTACAGCTCCTTGTATATAAAAATGCACCGGGGATATTTTTCTTTTTTTGGTCAATATGGAAACCACTGCACTAGATAGTTTAGAATAGAAAAATAATTTATTTTTTTCTGGTAGGTTTCTTGGCTTGAGGTCGGGGTAGTTCAAAAAATTGTTAAGATTTAATTTAAAACATTTATTTGACTGACGTTTCGACAGTATTAGTCTTTTTCAAAGTCTTAAACGTAGATACAATTAATTTACACATTCATAATCCATGTGTCACAATACACAAACTTTATACACATACAAACAAACTAACATAACGGACTGAAACTCTACGTAGATATTATTGTATTGACTAGCCGTGTGTAGGGTACTCTCAGTATTATGTCTATACAGTTTGTTTATTTTGACACATGGATTATGAATGTGTAAATTAATTATATGTATCTACGTTTAAGACTTTGAAATAGACAAATACTGTCGAAACTTCAGTCAAGTAATTGTTTTAAATTAAATTTTAACAATTTTAACAAGAAACCTACCAAAAAAATATCGTCCTATTGCTGCCAAAAGTTACTAACTAACATTTTTCCGAACAACCAAATCCAGTCACTATGTTTTAAAGCGGAGAATCGATTACAAAAGTCATTAACTACGATTTCTGGTTATTTATGTTTTATTTTAATACTGAATAGTTACTAACTATAACACCTTTATGCAATGCAATTCATCTTTAGATGCATTTTTCTCGGAAGTAATAAAAAGTAAGTTAGTGACTTTTGGCAGCAATGGGATGATATATTATCTAAGGTCAAAGAAACCTCAAATCAAAAAGAAATAATTTATTTGGTATTCAATGTTTATGTACAAGCCTAATTTACATTAATTTATTAAAACTATACATTTATGAATTACAGTATATGCAGTACAAACAGTATATAGTGAAACATTCGTTATCAGTGCTATAACAATGACAGATAAAGTGTTAATTAAATCTGATAATGTAATAATATAATAGATTCTTTTTATATAAATTCTTCTTAGGTATTACAATATTATATATTGTAGTAAGATATTACGATCAAAAAGTTTTATAACCAGGCAGGCTTTGGAATTGATACTCAAAAAATACTTTTTATATAAAATATTTATCTGTGATCATACGAAGCATGCTGGATCAAAAAACTTTTAGATCATAGGATACATATAATTTAATTCGAATAAATTGTACCATATTTTACAATTATTAAAATGTTAAAATTCTGTACGAACTATGTCTGTTAAAATATGGAGTAAGTTTTTAGTACTTATAATAAAACTCGTTGAAGGCTAAAGTAAATATGGGGAAGAACTCCATGGATTGATCCCGTAAATTCGGAAATAAAAAGGTAGTTTAAACAATCAATAAAAACTAACAATATTGGGCCAACCAAAAATATCAACAAAAACTCCTAACATTTCTTACCAAATTTTACTTTTTCAGATATTATCAAAAAGATGTACTTTTGATCGTATACTTGTGAACTCTGTATATATCTCGATATAGAGCATGCCACTGAAAAAGAAGAAGATATTATCAAACATGAAACATATAATATGAAGCTTACAAAGAGCATTCACGTGCGTTTCTTAACTTAAAACATTTATGCACTATCACGTTTAATAGTTGTATATTAACCTTGAAGCTGCTAATAGTTTGGAACTAAAGGTCCCGAATAAGTTGATAAAATTGCGTTCATAACTATAAATCTGAAACAGTAAGGTAGTAAGAACAAATAATTATTTGGTACAATTTAGCCGACTTTTCCCCGAACAGACCTTGATTTTTTTCAATTTTTAATTAAACATTAACAAAAATATTTGATTATAGGTATATTTTAAGTGTAATACGTCCAGGTACGTATTTGTGTTTTTTGGTATAATTTATATGCCAGTTTATTCCAATGTATATAAAAATTCAAAATTTTATTATTCCAAAGGGTATTCTAATTTATCTATCCAGATGCGTACTGTTGCAGCATTTTGTTCCATTCTTTTGGATAGTTGATTTGGACATAGGATAAAACTTTCTTAATTTGCTTCACTTCCTTCTCACTACACTGGGGGCAAGATCCTCTTAGAACTAAAGGTGCCAGGCCTAGAAATAAATTGACACTGTAGTATATACCGTCTTTATGCGAAAAAATATACAGGGTATGTAACACCATGTAACACTAACCAATGCAAAAAATGCTATATCTTCAAATGTTTTGGAAATAAGATTAACATACATTACATTAGTATCACTGAAGGGGAAGATTAAAATGTATAACTAGAAATATCAATGATCAAATGAGGCAAATCGTACAATTATTACATATTTTAATAAATATAGTATATCCTAAACATGAGATGAAGATGAAAAATTATCATATATCGTGATTTCAAAGGTCAATGTGACGCATTTTTTTCGATAGTATAGTATACTAGAAATGAATAAAATTACCGAACACATATGCATGATTATATAATGCTACCTAATTTAACCCTCCTGTTCTATCATCATAATAATAAGCAACTTTCTCTCTAACATTTGTTAATTATTAAATATCAAATAATTCAAACCAAGCAACTTTCTTTTTTATTTTTATGTATTTTCCGTAAATAAAAAAAAATCCTCGAGATTTTCTATGACAAGTGACCTGGGTAAATATTACTCTTATATTTATCATATTACCAATTTACATTACCATATTCTCCAGGATTTACAGAATCTAACTTTGAATTTTTATTTATTTCAGATATGTCAAGCCTACTGGTGCCGACATCGACGGTAATATTGATATACTTATAAATATATAGACCTGTGCTAAAGTACTGTACAACGAACTAGTGGAAAGAAAAGACATTCTAATAAATAATACAACACTGGGAATAGTAGAAGAATATATGTACAGGGTGGCTCGAACCATAGAGATACAGGATCGGTTAAATGCAGATAAAGTTGCGCAATTTGATGCTCAATAAAATGCCGTATTGCATTTTTATTTTTTTTGCATAAAATATTCTGGTGATGGAATTTTCTGTACGAAACGTGGGCAAATATCAAAGTAACTATATATAGTGTTTTAAGAGTGATGAAAGGATTTAATTAAATTGAAAAAAAAATCAGGTTTGTATTTAAAAAAACTAAGTTGATGATGGTCGTCAGAAGCCGAAACGTCAGAGTCAATATTTAATCACACAGAGTTGTAGAGTGTGCCATGAAAATGTGTTTTTCATTTTAAGTTATCTTAACAAATAAAGCCAGGAAACAATAGAAAACAAATTTGAAAATTCCGGGTTTTTTTGTTGAATACTCTACTAAATTTGCACGGTCTATCAATCCCGGATTTGGCCGCCATATTGGAAAATCCTGTCAAATTATGAAACTTTTATGTTTTTTTTTTAAATAACTCGGTCTGGGTGCACTGTACAGAAAATTTGAAAGAGACCAAAAAGAAAGCTATTTAAATTCTCTACAAAAAATGTCCTATTCACCGAGTTCGTGCATGAAAAGGTTAACGAGATACAAGCGCTTAAATACAAAGCATATATTTTCAAGTGGTTCATTTAATATGAGAAACTGATTCTATGTAAATTTAAATAATTTGCCAGTACAAATTTATGTTTTTCTTGTGCTCGTTTCCACACTACCTGGTGGTAGAGCACTCGACGCACTTTTTTTTAAGTGGTTTCCCTTATAGGCCTAATCCTAATCTTTGTGTCTTACTTCGGAATAGTATAATGATATAATGAAACACTAAAACTAAAAGTCGCCCGAACTGGTTTGATTTGACCACACCCCGGCTGCCATCTCGCGCTGTTGTCGAATAGATCAAGTATCAAATTTAACGTTAGCGCACATTAAGATGTATTTAAAAAAAATTGGCGCCGGGACGCACGTATAGCCGCCCATACTAAAATATGTTAATAAAAAGTTGGTAGGCAGTTCTTTTAGTTTCAAAGTAAAGGAATTTTTCCAATTTTGGTCCGCGGTTATTTCCCCTATCCGCCACCTGCGGTCGCGTTCGATGGGAGTTTGGAGTTCTCCACATGCGACTTTGATACTTAATACAAAAACTGCGACTTTGACTGATTTTGATGTTATTACAAATTTTGTTGCAAATATTATTCCTAATCTTAAATTGAAAACCGCGTTTCACTAGCTACTGTAATTTTGGAGTTACGATTTTTTAAAATTTTAACCCCCTCCCATACCCCCTTGCAAACCCCCACCCCACAAAATCTAATGGCCAGATTCTCGGGTGCCACAGTATTTTTTATGCCATATTTCTCAGGGAGTGAATTTTTAGCGTGAAATAATTGAGTTATCATCTAAAATAGGACAGACATCATTTCACTCAAATATGATTCTATTTAATCAATAGCGATTGAATAAGCTCATGTTCAGTAATAACCCCTATCTTTGAGTAATGGAATAGAAAAAATTCACTTAAAAACTCATGTTATAGTTTAACACAATAAAACTTGAGGGAAATCTCCCAGTTTAGAGTATTTTCACTCATTACTAATCATACTTCATACGCGCTTCTTCGATACTGAATAAGCTATTCCCCTGTTCTTCAGTTTTTAATTATCTGTTCGATCGTAGGTTGTCTTGTCCCTTCAGAAGGTGCCAATGTCACAAGCCCGAGATATTGTGTGTAAGGTGTGATGTAAATTTTTAAGTTGACAGTGGCCGCGTGGCGTGGTGAAGCGAATACGAATGCCAGAGACATATATGTAAACGTAAACCAAAAAAAACAATAGCCCAGGTTAATAATTAAGAAATCTTCAAACTAAAATGCGGAATACATTGTTAAATGCAACTTTTCTAGACGTCTAGCTTAAAAAGTTCCTGTATTTTTTCCGAAAAGAGTTGAAAACTTTTTAAAATGTTTTTGATATTATAATAATAGTGTTATAATTTTTGGTTTTATTTGTTCTTGTCAAATAAAAATGACAAATAAAAATATTTTTGAAGGTTTTACAGATTTTCATTTGGTTTGTTAAAAAACGAAATATTCTAAATGATTGTTTTAAAAGCGATATGTAAGCTAACTTGTTATTTTATTACAAGTGAACAGATGCCTCTCAAAAGTGAACTTTAGGAAATGGACATGTTCAAAACTGAAACTTACCTTTGAAAGGCACCTGTTATAAAATAACAAGTTAGCTTACATATAGCTTTTAAAAAAATTATTTAGAATATATTTCTCAATATTGAGTGAAATTAATACTCTAGATATGAGTACTAATCAAGTTAAGTGTAACACAAATTTGAGTAAAAGTCACTCAATAAAAGGTGTACTTGAACTCAACACTTAGTGAATTCACTCATTTTAAAGTGAATAAATTATCAAAATCGATCAAAATCCTACTCAAGGTGAACCATAATGAGTAAAAAAGGAGTCTTTCGTCCAATCCCGATTGAGCGAAAACACTCAGTCCTTTTCACTCTGAGAATTGAAGATTCACTCAGTTCTGTAGAGTGGAAATTTCACTCAATCGGGTGTGGACAGAAATTGAGAAAGTATTGAGTGAAATCTGAGTGAAATTTCACTCATTACTTTTTACAGTCTAGCTACTATAATTTTGGAGTTACGATTTTTTAAAATGTTTAACTCTCTCCCATACCCCCTTACCAAACCCCCACCCCCACCAAAATCTAATGGCCTGATTCTCGGGTGCCATAGTATTTTTGTGCCAAATTTGGTTAAAATTGGTTTAGTGGTTTTTGAGTTATCGTGTTACAGACGGACAGACAGACACCATGAAAATATTTTGTATTTAGGTCATTTATGACCCAAATAACTCATTTTGAGTGAAATTAAAAAAACTTTTTTTCGCCGATCTTAATAGCCTACCTCACTAATCACAACCTGTTAGTATAGTCGGCTAATAAGCCTTAGATGTTAATTGAACTAACTTTAGAACTGATAAGTTTACGAGAATAATTAATAGAACCTTTTTTGTAGAGAATTTAATTTGCTTTATTTTTGGTTACCTGCATTTTTTTTCTACAATGCACCCAGACCGAGATATTTTAAAAAATCCATAAAAATGTAGTTTTTATATTGACTTTTTCAAAATGGCGGCCAAATCCGGGATCGACAGACCGTGCAAAATGAATATATCATTCAGCACATCAAAACAAAGAAAATAAAAAATAATTCAGCTTACCCCTAATTATTTCCACCTAGGCCTATTTAAAACGACGGCGACGCGACGTAGCGACTGGCCTAGAAGTATTCGGAATTTTTCAAAATGCTATACGACATTTTATTGAGCATGAAATTGCGCAACTTGGCCTCCATTTAACCGATCCTGTATTTCTTACGGTTTCCGAAATCCCAATGATGAGCGTCGAATTCGAGCCACCCTGTACATATATACAGAGTTTCCCAGAAATAAGTGCAAGTATTTGAAGGGGTGGCAGATCTCGATAAAAGAAACATATTTTCTCTTTATCGTTTTTCAAATAAACTCAAAATAACGGAGATATTTTACATTGAAAATTTCCAAAAAATTATTTTTTGCTAAAATTTTGGAAACCACTAGATATTTGGTAAACTTTCTTTCTTGTAAATTTAATCTATACTACCTATGTTGCCATATTATTAAGAAATTATGTTTTTTAACTAAAAACATTCCAAAAAATTTTATAGAAAATTCCAAATTTTCAAAAAAAAAAATTCGCGAAATAAAAATTATAAGCGTGTTTCTGGGGTTGAACTAGTTAAAATACTTGCACTTATTTTTGGGACACCCTGTATATTTGAGACAACTAATACACAGGTCGGGATCTCTATTACCAGAAACCAGAAGAAATGCCGAAAGGTAATTTCTTGGGGCGATAATCAAAGCGGTTTGTTGAGGTTTTTTTAGTCGGTAAGGTACCTCAACCACCCCGACAGTACCACTTACGGTCTCTGGTTTGCAGATTTTTCCCCACAAAAAAACTACCAGAAATCAACAGAAGAATTAAATTCAGTTAGTATGGAGTATGTTTTATGGAAGAAACTCATATCATATTCAAATCTAGAAAGCAACTCTATCTAAAGAAGGAAACATTCGACCAGTGTGTCAACCAAACAACTAGTCATAACCTATGTATGCAAAACCTGAAACTTCATAAGGATATCATAAAGAAACTACAGGTTGTTCAACGTTCAGTTGAACGAAATATGCAAAATAAACCAAGAGCGACCGTAAAAGAATAGACTGGATACGACAAAAGAACCAGGTAAACGATGTCATCCTCAGAGACAAATTCTTCAAATGGTAGTGGACAGCCTGCATAACACCTTGCAAGAAGAACGGACAACATTTGGATCACAAAAATTACAGCGTACCCACGAGAAATTAAGAGACCTAGAAGAAGACCGAACCCAAAGAATATTATAGTTAACCTAAATAGTTGCCGAACCTGAGATGGGACACTGATATTAGGAAATTAGCGTAATAACTTGGGCTCGCATAGCCAACAATAGACAACAATGGCCAATGGGCCCAACTACAAAGAGAGTATCTAAATGTGTGAGGGAGGCTATCCCATAATTGGAAATGGTTAAATAAGCTGAAAATGATGATGATGAAATGATGATATGGACATGAATATAAGTAAGTAATCAAAAATATAGTATTTTAGAATATGTGTTTTTTGCAAAAAAATAATTTATCTAAAGATTATTTCATCAGTCAGCTGCAATTTTTTTCCGTGTTCTCAAGGCTCATCCTGTATAATAAGAAAGAAATCAAAACATACAACTCATGGTGATAATAACAAACCTCGGATTGCTCTGAAGATCTGAAACATAATAATTTCACTAGCACTTGGGAATACCTCTAGATATTAACTGCATTTCAAAATAATATTGATATATTGAAATAAGTATTTGAATAACTCAATTGTAAAAAAATATATCTTTTTAAACGTTTTTTATTTTAAAATTTATTTTAATTCTATAGATTAAATAGACTAGGAACTATCTTGGCAATATTGATATGAAGGTGGTTTTTACTCTGTTTTTTTAATAAATGAAATTAATTGTACTTACTTTTAATACGTCGCCCAACTGGATCACACGCAGATTCTCCTAGAGCACATTTCAATTGTCTTTGAAGATATCTCTTATCATTTAAGGTAGTCTCTATGGTCTCATCTGCTATAGATTGTCTAGTTGTAGACTCTTTTTCACTTTTACAATAAACTATAACTAAACAAATTACTAAAAAGGTCGTTAACGTTGACATCTGAAACAAAGATTAATATCATTATAGTAAAGCATTTTAATGAAAAGAATTTGAGAGAAAATTGTTTATGAAATTAGCAAGCAAATCAAAATGAGCAATCAAAATATCCCCTGACCGATATGAAGGTATTTAAGATGTATTTCCGATTGTTTATTTCAAATTATTATCCATACAGGGTGTCCCAGAAATAAGTGCAAGTATTTTAAGGGGTGGTAGATCTCGATAAAAGAAACATATTTTCTCTTTATCGTTTTTTAAATATGTCCAAAATAACAGAGTTATTTTACTTTGAAAATTTCCAACAAAAATGATTTTTTGCTAAAATTTTCAAAACCACTGGATCTTTTCTGGATTTTCTTTCTTGTAAATTTAATCTACTACCTATGTTGCCATATTATCAAGAATTTTTTTTTAAATAAAAACTAAAAAAAATTCCAAATTTTCCAATTTTTTTTTCGCGAAAAAAAACTGATAGGAGTATTTCTGGGGTTGAACTATGCTACCAGTTAAAATACTTGCACTTATTTCTGGGACACCCTGTATAACAATACATTTATTACTAAAAAGAACAGAATTAATATATTCTGTGTGCCATGCCGGGCCATAGAGACATCCAAGGCAACGAAAAAGCCGACAAACTATCAAGGATCATCGGAAGGCTATCTTGGTTCAGGACCAGTACTGACCCGAATGTATAACCAATAGTATATTAAAACTTTGGATCAGGGAATAGCAGACCGTCCACTGGAGAAACGGACAGAGGCACTTGCATAGCAAGGTCTGCATTCATTTGGGGAAGCAGTGGCTATAACTGGAAGAACTAGGCTCCCATCCTATCAAGGACCTGTACAAGCTTTTTTTATAGAGGTAGGAAAATACATTTGCGTATCTCAGAGCCAGATGATTGGCCTGGTATGTCAGACTCAGGTTTCAATACCGACTAAAAATCTCCTCTTTCTTCGGCCTCTGCAGACCCCGCGGAAACCGCCGTTAGCCATTACTACGCAGGGAGAGGATCTAGCAATTACTCTTCCTTCCATTAATTGAAGTCAATTTTCTCTTCCTCTAACCGTTCTTGTTGCTGGCTCGTTTTCCCTCGATAGAACGCAGGTGTTGAAGCACTTTCGTTGTGAAAGTACTGGTCGCGTTCCAGGATGCCTCCGAAGAAAGCATCGCATCAACTATAGTGTCTCTGGTTGAATTGCCTGTTCGAGGACAATCTCCAGATGACTATGCATTAAGTTGAAACGTGGGCGCACAAAGAACACGTGCACCGGGTCTTCAGGAACTCCTGGACAGGACGGGCACTCCGAGGAATCATCGAGCTTAAAACGATGAAGATATGCTCGGAAGCAACCATATCCTGAGATCATCTGTGTCAGGTAGTAGTTGACCTCACCGTGTTTTCGATTCAGCCAAACATTCAACTGAGGTAGAAGACGGTGCGTCCCTGCTACAAGCTAGGACAGAATACGGGGATAGGAGACTGGGTGCAAACATAGAAAGATGACTAACACAATAGGCAGAATACCAATCGCAGCGTTTCCAGCATAGGATGGTTCCTTAATATTGAGAAGATAAATATATAATTTATAATGTTAAATATATACTAAAACATGCTAAAAACACTTTTCTATATTTTATTATTACTCTACACAAAATGTAAAAGTACTGAATAACATGGACATAGATTTGGGGTGTGACAAAAAAAATTCACTGTAGATACCAAAATCTGTCGTTTTCCCTTATACGTTACTCAAAAAAAAATAAATTCGTTTAAAAGTAGCGAGAGGTCTGATAAAATTTCGATATTTGACATGTATTTTTCGCTTCCTGAACAAAATGATAGAGGTTGCTCCCCTAACATTTTGCGCCAGATGTATACTATGATAATAAGACCAATGATTAGGTACCTGAAGCAGTTGCTTGGTATAAAAACTAGTGCAACGTACAGCAAGGCAAAACCTGTGTAAAGTACAGAGACTGACATGCATCTGTATCACAGGTGCTATAAGAAAATACCCAACAGCAGCAATGGAGGCCATCCCAGACCTAAAACCACTGCACATTGTCGTCGAAAGTTATGGCAATACGAGAATGATTAGAATGGCCATTGACAGATTCAGTACTGGGAGAATTTTCATGTCAGGGGCTTCGAACGCCCTAAAAAAGAAAATTCCACTCCTCCACTCCCAGTGGATGACATACCAAGAATTTACAACTTTGAGAATCACCTGTCTCTCTCTCTCTCTCTCTTCAGTCCTTCACTCTAGGTGAGAATATTTTGACATCATGTGTAGATTCCCCTCACTTCCTCGGACCAAGTTGTTCGACACTGCGCCATATGTGAAGCTTCGGGGAGGTTGTGGCCCACTAGGGTTGTGACTTGATCTACCAACCTCTTAGGTGACCTTCCACCTTCCACGTGATCGTCTTCCCTCTACCTTCCCCTCCACTATCAGTCCTCAATTAAGGTGCCACTCCTGGCAATATGGCCAAAATATAGGAGGATTGACTGATTTAATCTGGTAACCAGACGTGTCTCAATTTTTAGTTCCTCTATAATGGAAATGTTTGTTCGATGAGCCGTTCATGGTATTCGCAGCAGCAGTCGATATACCCATACCATCTCCAAGGCATTTATTCTTTGCTTATCACTTTCCTTTAGTGTCCATGTTTCGGAGCCATACATAGCTATGGGGAATATGAGGTAGTTCGCAATGCGCAGTTTAGTTCTTCGTGTGATTGATGAAGTCTTCCATATCTTAGTCAGCTTTGTTGTTACATTTCTCGACTCTGCGCCTGATTTCAGCCTCGCATCCTCCAGAGTTTGCTATCATGGAACCTAAATAGTTGAACTGGCTTACAACCTCGTATCCAGCCACGGTTCGGACATCAGGTTGGTTATTGCGGAGGCGGTTAACAAGCATCGTCTTGGTTTCCCGTTTGTTTAGTTCCAAGCCATATTCTGCACTAATAGAGCACAATGACTTTCTGCAACTCTTCTCTGCTGGCAGCTATAATCACTGTATCATCCGCGTATCTCAGGTTATTTATCCTCCTGCCCCCCACGGATATCCCACAGTTCCATTCTTCTATTATTCGATTCTATTATTTCGATTCACTGTAGATATTAAACAGGATTGGAGAGAGTATACATCCGTGTCTCACACCTGCGTTACGCTTGAAACCACTCGATAACGTGTTATTAGCTCTGATCTTAGCACCTCACTGTAATATTGAGCAATAAAAATGATTGAAACACAGGGACAGGGATAGGAGTATTTAAGCCAAAAACTAAATACTCCGAATCAATGGGCACCTACCCCAGAATTATTCAGGCAGCAATCAACGCTGTCAGAAGATGCTTAGAATTTATTTTAGATAGGAACTATCGAAAACAGGAAATAGCCATCTTATCCGATAGTCAAGCAGCACTATAAGCGATCAACTCAGTAACCATCAATTCGAAGTTGGTCAAAAATCGCTGACAGCACTTGGATGGAAATTATAATGAATACAAAAATAAAGACTTTAATCCCCTGTAGCTACGAAACAATGCAGAATCGGACTTTTAATAATATAAAAATTAAATTTCCTCACGAGAGATAGGCTTCTTTTTTGAACCACCCTGTATATATTATTACACTATTATGATTTTTCACATGCTTATCACATAAATTAAAAATATTAATTCGCGCCGGTACACCAGTAGCATACTAACGACCTCTTATTCCATCGAAATAAAAAAGAAATAATGGAACTAACAACCTTGGCCGTATTCAGCTTGTCCCCGGTGAAATAGACTATTGCAATTAAAGAAAAAAACAGTCTGTAGTAGAAATAGTTCTCCAAATTTTAATTCGTTTTGATTACAAGAAACTTAAGGCACGTGAAAAATGTTGAGGTTTATAAAGGGTTAAAAATTAAGAGTTTCGCATATTATTTAGTTCTTGCTTGATGTAAGATACTGTAAGCATTGCTCAACTTTATGCAAATTTTTTAGTAATAGTAATTATTTTTGTTGTGTCAAGCTATCAAAAGTTACAACAAAAAGTTTCAAATCATTAACATGTTTATATACCCTACGATCGAAAAAAAACAGCGTCAGCGGATAGCTTTTAAATGAAAATAGGAATATAGAATATATTTTCGGAAATATCTTCATATACTTGGACTAGTATTTTAAATTACGCATCTTATTGTGTTGGAAGAACATTTTATACAGGGTTTCACAATTTTGACATTGGCTGAATTTTAGTAAGCCAAGTGTTTTTTTAGTATCCAAGCATATTTCAAGCATTAAGGTAGAGACTCGCCCTATAATATTAAATGATAAATAATTTCAAAAGTCTAAAGTCATTATTTTTTAAAGATTGCCTTTTCAGTCATTTCTTAGATGTTATGTCGATATGATTTCCACATAACACATTTTGAAGATTGTCTGGCTAAACATACTCAATTCGATAGATATTTGAATATACAGACTAAATCTTAAATAAGCGCAAAGATTTTTAGGGCTGCTATAATTCGACCCTAGAAACACCAGAGATTTTCAGATTTTTTCGTGAAACATTTTTAAAAGTCTTATTTTAAATTTAATGTTTTAATTGCTAAAATACAGGGTCCGGCAATAGTGCGTCGGGCATCTGTAGCTCATAGAATAAAAAACTTAGGAATTTTGTTAAGGTACAAACCTAAAGTACGTATTTGGATGTATTTCAGGAAAGTATTTTAACTTCTATAGGGTGGCTCAAAAGAGTGAGTGGATGATTTTTTTAAATGGAACACCCTGTATATTATTAATTTTTATTAATTAATGAGTAAATATATTTTGATAGTTTCGGAGATATTTATAAATAAATAAAAAAATATACCTTTTCGGCTTTTCTTAAAAAAAATTATTATAAATACAAGAACTGTCCTAAAATCAAAACTATATTAGATATTTGCTTTATATGGTCTGTACTTACTTTGCTATAAATATCGTATCATAAATCATACAGGATGTTCAAAATTCTACGTCAAACTTTCTAAAATATAAAATAATTTTTCTTCGTTTTTTTAAATGGAACACCCTAATATTATTTTTTTTATTAGATGGAGAATTAAAATATGAACAAATTTTGTATTTAAAGTCAATCAAAAATGTTAATGCTTTTGCAGATAGACGCAGTTTTATTTCATACGGTAAAATAGGAAAGAAAGTTAATTTAAGACCCACACTGTATACCGTAAATTATCGCTGTGGCCCTTTTGTAAATAATGATATTGCTGAAGATTACTGTCGATTGATACCTACTTAATTTAGGTTAAAAGTTGATATTTAAGAAATACGGATAACATACAGTATGTCCCCCGAGTTATCTTTACCAGAGGAAAAACTTTTTTATTATTGACATTTTGTGACAAAGTGTTAAAAAAGCACAAAATTGAAAAAAAAGAAAAACAAAGAGTGATAATAGTTATCGGAAAATGTGATACTTTAACAACAGGAAAAAGTATGACGTTAATCAAAATTAATAATAACCATCTATCAAAGAATGAAATCGAAATTATATTACCATTTAAACGCATTTTAATTTTTAAGACTTTGAGAAAATTCAACTATATTTTCAAGGTTTTTTTTTTAATTTTCTCCACAGCGAGATGGAAATTTGGAAAAATATAAACGGGATTGCCAATTTTAGAACAAGCTATAAAGAATGTTTTTCTCTAAATTTAAATAATAAAAAAGGTTTTCCTATCGTAAAGACAATCCGGGGACATACTGTAGAAAGCAATACAATTAGTTTTCATGCTGTGCTCGTATGTTATATAACTATCTAGGTACTAAAAAAATTTCTCAGTATAGAAATTAAAACTTACACCCACCCTATAACCCATTAAAGTGACTATTAGAACGCTATTAGGATTAGCAAGAAGGGACATACATTTAACTAACTGACCTTAAAATTTAGTGACATTGTTCACTTGGCACTTTACTTTTGTCGCGAACTTCTTCGAATGCACTTGACATAAACGTTACCGCGAATATTTATTTATAAAAAGTGAAAGTTCACACGACTACGATGATCATATTCATTCAGAATGTCGGTAGTCGGTATCGTACAGCAAACGTTCGAACACAGGACATTTATTACGATTAGAAGACGAGGGACAGTTATAGTAGACGGAAAATGTAAAGGGGACCAAGTCTTTGAAATCACGCCACACGTAATTTTATTTAACAGTTTACAAGGTGGCCCAACGCACAGCAGGGTTCTTTTGAAACATCAAAGAACCGGGACTCGAAATTTTAATTCCCGGTTCTTTCAGTACCTACTTTCGGAACTCGGCAATAATAATTAAAAACATATTTTTTGTTACGTGCGAAAGACTTTTGATGCTTTCTAGCGGTCGAAATCTAACTCTTCTATATAAGTACCTAGTGATGCTATTTTGAAGTTTCTATAATGTTTATTAACAATTATTGAAGTTTAAATATGTTATTTTATAATTTTACATATAAAAATACAGCGATCTTCATTTCATAGCCATCGCTGACGCCGTTTTTATTCGATCATACGGTACTTTCTTACACATTGTAGAAAGAAGTTCTCTCTTTTCTGGTAGAGTAGCAGCCTCGTCGTGTATACGTGTTTTTGCATTAAAACTGTTGCATTTTTTAGGTTATTATATTAGTTCTTATTACTTTTCCTTTATATTTTTCTACATATAGATATATTACATACATCTACAGATGATGCCATGTCTCAAACGAAAAAAGCCTAGACCTAGGCAGTGGATATAAATGTGTTCTGAGTTAATGCTATGTTACATAATAAGAATATTTGGATTTTCCAGACATATTAATATTTTATTATCTAATCTAGTTTAAACCTTATTTAACTCTTTTCTGCTGTCTCAGTAATTTTTAGTAAATTAATTTTAGCAACATTTTAAGCAACAATTTAGACTTGGCTTTTAGTTCTTAAGCATAGAGATAGCCATCATATCACATGTTTTCTCTGTCAACTGCAGAGTTCGCGTCAAATTCGTCAATCTTTTTACAAAGGAGAGTTCGAAAAATATTGCACCGACGCCGCAGTTGTCAATCTACGTTACCGTATTCTTAGTATACATTTAGATCGAGACTATTTAAATTTACCTAATGCTATTCATTCCTTTTTCTGTGGCCAGTCATATTTATTAGTTATTAATAAAAGAATACTGGTAAAACTATACAGGGTAAGTTTTAAATAAGTGCAAATATTTTTAGGGGTGGTATATTTTGACCCTGAGAACACCTCTATGAGATTTCTTTTGCAAAAAAAGATGCTAAAAATCAAGCATTTTCTTTGAAATTTTCCTGTATATTTTAGAAAACTTTTTAGAACTTCCTGTTCACCGCAAATTTTCCCACGGTATAGTTTCTTAATCTCTGATATTACGGCACGAAAAGAGCACATATTAATAGAGAGCAATACCGAAAAATTGAGGTGGTTCAAATTTTTTTAAAAATATTTTTTTTTTATTTTGGACTTTAATAACTCGGTTGGACTTATTTGAAACACGATAAAGAGAATATATATTATGTTTTATTTATTGAGATCTACCAGCCCTGAAAATATTTGCACTTATAAAGGCACCTTGTATAATAAAAATTTTCAAACCGAACAAACAACAGATGTTTATTAAAATTATATGTATCTCAGAGAAAGACATCTTACAATAGTTATTTTGCAAATTGGTGTTAATGTTTAAAAGCAACTGACGATTATACTGATGCAAATTGATTAGTTAGTTATGGAGTCTCTAAGGATCTTACGTCACTTTAGTTAGAAGATTAACCATTTAATTTTTGCTAATCCAATCTATTTTGAGCTCTGATCGGGACCGGCCCACCGGGAATTTTCCCGTTTTCCCATATGGCCCATCCACCCCTGATTACAAAGTTTACCCATTTAAATTCGTTGCTTTCACTTTAGTATTTAAATAAACACACATATACAAATGCATACATATAAGATGGCTCCGTGTTCTGAAAAAGCTCTGTATCAGGATTCCTATTTGAGATTTTCACTCCAAACCTTTTACAAAATATGTGTTTAATGGTAGTTCACATTTCACAAATATTTTTATACTTAATTTTTAGTTTTTCAAATTAAATGCTTTATATCTGTGCAGTGAATTTGCTATACAATTCCGGTTCCAAAAACACCTTAATACCATAGAGCATGCTGAGTGGTTTTTGAATTATAACTACGTCCATGAGGACGTCAACCTAGACGTCCAGCAACCTTCGTATGAGAACTTCTAATGGACACGATCGATTTATTGTAAGTTTATAGCTAAGAAACCGCCGTTTATCAGCTTCTCAAATTTATAATAAATTGCACCTAAGGAACGTACATATTAACTAACGGACTATAAGAAGAAAACTAAATGAAGCAAATTTTATGTTAAGAAGCTCTGCTGCGGGACCAGAACTTACTAAATCTGTTGACTAGGACTAAAAGCAAAGGAATAGTTTTAATGTAAAAATTATGAAAAAATGTTAGTGTCGTCTTCAAAAGCGAATATCCAACAAAAATAAAGCTAACAAGATGAACCAAAAAACAAACTATCGGGAAAGAATGTATCTAGACGATAAATCGATTTTTAAATTTCTTGTTGTTTTAACGTATTCCACAGGGTGTTTCAAACTTTCACCAAAATATCAACATTTTGTTTTTCTTCGTACAATTAAGAGATGGGAAGTTTCATTTTTAATTTAGAACGATATACTAAAAAGTCAGATAATTTGGCTACATACTGCTTAAAAAATCATCAAAATCGGTCCACTAGAACAAAATATATTAAACTTTAAAATACCTCAAAGTTTTAAGGTGCCCATTTTTCGTGCCGGTCGGTGAATGTATTTCAAAAACTATACATTTAAGTCATATACTTTTCTAATGAAACTCGTCTTTATTTTTTTACTAGAATCCGAAAATCAATTAATATATAGGGTGTTCCATTACAAAAAACACAACTTTCATTTGTAACTTTTTTGGGGACACCCTGTAGAACTCTGTATAATTTTATAAAATGCTTTAAATTGACTTACATAAGCCCACAAAATTACACTTCAATACAAACTTTCGTTCTCCTTGAAAAAACCGCGTCGTATATGATGCGCCACCCTGTATAATTCGATTTCAATCAAAATTTCAATGTTTAGAATATAAGCAGAATATGTATAGCTTATACTTTAAAAAATTTACTTAGGAAAAAAAATTAAAAAAATCAAAAAATTAAGAAGAAAATAACTAACAATTTACTAAAATTACTAAAATAAAAAATTAAAAGCAACGAAAAAAAAATGGGTAAACATTTTAGTGTTTTATCTATAAAACACAATACAGAAGGTTTCACATTTATACATTCACAGTAACTGAATTCCGAGGTAAAAGTCTCTGGGCACCCTACTATAAGTTAGTTTCGAGGTTGGTTGATGTTGATTGATGTAATTTTAAAGCTACTATATACAGGGTGAGTCTTAAATAAGTGCAAATATTTTCAGGGGTGGTATATTTCGGCACCAGAACACGTCTATGAGGTTTTCTTCCAAAAAAAGATCTTGAAAATCGTGTATTTTTCTTTTAAATTTCCCTGTATATTTTTTGAAAACTTTTTAGAACTGCCTGTTCATCGCAAATTTTCCCACGGTATAATTTCTTAATCTCTGATATTACCATAGTTACGGCTTTACTCCACTGAAAAAAATATTGTTCATAATATTAATGAACAATGATTATTAACTGTTGTTTCATTGGGACAATGATTTTTTTCATTAATATAATGATTTGTTAATCGTAGATCGATGTCCGATTTATTAATACTATGAATCTAATTTCATCAATATAATGAAAATCTGGTTATTAAATTAATGTAAGATTATCATTAATATAATGAACGCGTTCATTGTCCCAATGAACGCGTTCTTTATTTTAGTGCTGAAACTTTAATAAACTCATATTCATTATATTAATGTACTAAATCATTGATTAATGAGTTATACATTGTGACAATGAACAATGTTATTAATACAACGAACACACTACATTATACTAATGTACGCGGTTATTAATATAATGAATAAAATATTAGGGCTTAAATGTCCACCATGTTGATCGGTAACTTTGGCACTTTAATAACGTCTGTGTGGTTGAGTTATTCAGTGATGCTTTAGTTTCATTAGAGCGGTAAGTATTCTCTTCAATATTTTAAATATTTTAAATAAAAGTCCTATCTTATTGTAGTTAATTTGTTGTGTTGTCAAATCAAATTCCGCCGTGTGAGATCTCTGGTGTGGGTATTCATTAAAACAGCGGTTTCCAAATATGTTTCAGAAGACAAAAAACAAAAAGAAGAAAAACACAGTAACAAGTCGAGGCATGGAACTGATTATGGTAAATTCGAATGTTCTTTTAATATTTGGCATTTTAATTATTTTAATATACGTCTTTTAGAACCGGAAGAAGATGTTGAGACCTGCCTTCAAGCCCTCAAATTCGACAATTTAACATCGGACCAACTTGATGCGACTTGGAAAGCCTGTTGCAAATTCGTCTAGACGTTATCAAGTCTAAGGATACAGCTAATATAATGAAGAGTTGGTCTTTTTATAGAAATCCCTCAGGATATCGACTGGTAAATTAATTTTCTTATTATAATTTACCCTAAAATTAATAATAACATTACTATTCTCTTCGTCTATTCGATTTTTTTAATTTTTAATTGGTTTAAAATTTAATTGCTATATCGCGTTTAATAAATTATTATTAGTTTATTGCACTTGTTTTTTATTAATAATCCCTAATGGAAAAATTCACTGTGCTCGTAAGTAAGGGCTTGTTCAAATGGAAATCTATTTATAGTAGAATTATTTCAGGTAGTTGGCTGAGAAATGACTATCAATGACATTTCATATAAATGACAGCGATCTTCATCATCGATTATACGGTTATATGTATAGTAGTTATGTATATGTAGTGTATATGTAGTTATATGTATACAAGAGTTACTAATAGTGTCGACTTTTAAATGTATAACTAAATAGGTTATGAAATTACTTCATTGTATTAATGATACGGTTCATTAATAAATAGGTTA